CTGAAGTAATTGTAATTACTCATACGATCGATTCAGCCTTTCTCCAACAGTGCAGTTTCTTTAATTACACCTTTATCTTGTCACATTTCTGAGAATTGTCAACTCCCCTTACAGGAAAAGGGACACATCTTATGACTGATACTGTCGATAAAGGAGTACAGTATGTCATGTACATGTATTTAATGAAATATGGTGTGTTGTACACTACACATAGCATGGATACGTTGACAAGGCCCTATTACACTTTTTTTGTGGTGTGTTACATATATATGTTCTGCAAAGGATAAAATCCCAAAGATCGCACCGGATAAAGTTTGTCCCGCCCCTTAGCCTACGTAATAGGCCAGCTAACCAATCAGAGCAGACTGGGCTCTGGTTTCAGACAGAGGGTGAAAAGAGGCAGTATGAGAAAAATAAAGAGCTTTTTGAACATGAAAGCATGGAGACATGTCCCAGTAGAGACACTAAAAACAAATAAGCAACTGAAAATGAGCATCATAATGTATTTCCGCCTCAAATAAATCAATATATGACAGAAAAACTCATGTGTTGATTAAACTAGATACACAACCGAGGAGATATGATTGCTTAATTTTAAAGTGGCTCCAAGCTGACATAACTGGAAGTCTTCTCAACATAACTCTTGACGCTGTAATGAAAAACAGAAATCATCAAGTAGCTTGTCGCTTCATTTCACAACATACCAAACGCAGTGTCTTTATAACATACAGTGCGTTTGAGGGGAAGCATCTCGTGGGAATTTTAGATCACAAGACAGCTGGGAACGCCGGCGAACGATCCCACAAAACATCGTTTCCCAGAGGTCTCCCGTCAGTCACGAGCCCACACAAACCCACGGGAAGCTATTTTCTTCTTCTGTTCTTGAAAAAGCAACAGTGGGAGAAGTTAAATAATGGCTTCTGGTTCCTTCCCATGTGCAGTATCACAGCGGGATAATTACACACCATATATTACAGGCGTCCCACACACTGAAGCAATGTGTATTTTCGGTATGCAACTGATCATTTCCAAACTCAACAAACAAGCAAAGTAGTTTAGTTGAAGTCAAATAAAATGGAAGTTTCACCTCCTTTAATTCACAGTTTCGGAAATAAATGGATTTCATTTTTTGCCTTATGGCAGTTTTAAGAAATGTGATAACTGTATATGGTTTTACAGAAATAATCTTAATTCTGTGGAGAGAGTATATGTGTAAAAAGATCCCTCTAAGGCTTTCTGTTATCACCACTTTGATGATAACTATCATTTTTATTAATCTTTTTTTAATCTTTTATGTGCGCTTTGAGAACAGCCTTGTTTCTGGACGCTCCTTTGCCGCAGAGAGATAAAAATGTCCCGGCCATCTGAAGTCTTTTTATCTGTAATTTAGCCCTTAGATCATCATTTCATAAGTGGAAAGTGGGGAAAGTATTGCCACGAGACGAGATGAGATAATACCACAGTCATTTCACTTGGAGTTACTTATTTTACGAATAGCTTTGAACTGCCGGTGAAACAAGGATGATTTCATTAGTTTAATTTTAAGAAAAGAAACATAAAACAAGTGACACTGTGTTGCTACTTTGGCATGATCTGTTTTAAATCAAAACGTAATTAAATTACATAAATGGACGTTTACTAAGGTGGAATTATCTCTATTTTTAGGATGTCAGGCGAATTACTCTAACTCAATCACGCACAAGACAAAACGTATTAGTCAGAGACAGAGACGATGGTTATTTTAAGCTGTGACAGTGTTTCCCCTTGTGATCGCAGAACAAATTGCTGTTTTTCTGAAAAACAAAATACAAATGGTCTGTGGAGGATACCAGAAGCTGTGCTTTATAACTGTTTGAATAAAGAACACACATATAGCAGTAGCCCTTTATCACGAAACAATATTAAAACATTTGTTAGATAATCCCTGTTCCACAATCTTTTTGTCTGCGCGCTTAATTGATTGTTGTACCAGTTTGTGTGCTATACACAGAAGGAGTAGGCTACAAGTCAAGCTAATGCTAAAAACAACTGAATGTCCAGATGTGTGACCTTGAAACCATAACATAGTTACCATCTTCTTGTCATTTGAGTCACTCCCATCCCTGTCCAACCACAACACTCACTATAACTTTGAACATGCACACATACAAACACACTACCTCCCATCAAAGACTGCAGCCAAAAATACCACATGTTATTTATTTGTATATTTATTAAGTGTCAAACTGATATTTTTAGTAACTATTTATATTTAAACATTGTAGCTTTTCTTTATTAAATAATCCTTAAAAATGTATTTTAACATTCTGGTAAAGTGCATTTAAGTGATGACCCTGATTATTGCTACTATCTCTGCTTCATCACTGCTTTTATGGATGTGTTCTTATTTATGCACTGCAGTGAGAGATGCCAACTGAATTTCGTTACACTGATGTGTGATGACAATAAAGATATTCTATTCTATTCTATCTTCTTGTAATTTGAGTGTTGTTTTTGGCTGTGTTTAGCTTTTCTGCAACTTGCAACTCTCCAAAACCTTTAACATGTGTTTAAGTAGTGGATTAGAAACTGGACTGAAGACAAGACAGTGTTCAAAGCAGTTGACTCCAACTGATTTTTCCATATATAACTTTTGTGTTTTGAGCATAATATGAGCTTAATAATAGCATTAGTCATTGCTAGAGCTATGTATCAACCTTAGCTTGCCTGCTAGCTTGTTGTTGCTGTAGCTTGCTAAGAGTTTGTTTAGGTTTAACCTTTAGACTTTTTGACCCTCACCTCTGACATTCAGTGAAATATGTTTGTTGTTTGTTCCACCACGAGTCAGACGAGGGTGTGCAAACTGTGTAATCTCTGTTTGTCAGCACAGACAGCCAGGACTAAAAGTTAAGACTAGCTTAGCACTGGAAGCAGGAAGAAAACAGCTTGCTTTGATATGTCATTAATAAGAGTTTCCACACCACCACACAGATTTTATAATTTAGTTTGTGGCAGAGGTATTCTAGAAGCTTCCCTTTGATTGCAGGCTTTGTGCTAAGCTAGGCTAACCTGCACCTCTCTGCCCTCTACACAGCATGGATAAAACAATTAATATTCTACTTTAATTATCGGTAAATGAGGCATATTTCCTAAACTGCTAACATTTAATTGACCTGACTCTCAAGTCTTCGAGTTTCGAGTGAAAAGACAGATGACCCTAAACTCACCCTATTTCATGTCAAGTAGTTTGTATGAAGTCCTCATTTACCCTCACACACACACACACACACACACACACACACACACACACACACACACACACACACACACACACACACACATACACATACACATACACATACACATACACACACACACACACAGAGGTCACACACTAGTCATTAGTGATGCAGAAGGACAACCGTTAAATTGATCCTGAGCTGCCTCCCACACACTTACTCTCGCTCACACACCTCCAAACACACACACACACACACACACACACACACACACACACACACACACACACACACACACACACACACACACACTCTTCTGTACATCCTTGCAGCCTCAAGGCTCTCTCCCTGACTCACTCCTGAATTAAACACATGACTTAAATCACATGTCACGCTCCATCCGAGAGATTGTGTTGATCATTTAATGTCATTTAAGGAAATCACATAAGAAAAAGTTGAGAAGCATTCACATCTGATGCAATATTTCTGTTCTTACTGTACATTTTAAATCAGAAAAAAACACATTGTAGGCTGTGCAGACGCTAAAATGACAGAAATGGTTTAACTGTAAAAGCTGTTTTAGCATTTAGCATAAGTGGATGTTTAAATAGTAAATGATTAAGGGGAGGACTATGACTTACAGCATGTGTCTTTAGTTTAGTTTCAGTTTCCTGTTAAGGCCTTCGTTTTGTTCTTGAAGCGGTTGTCTTAGCAAAAGATGCTCTCCAGCGTGCTGCTCTGATTTTTCACTGTCTACTTACTGACGTATCACGGTATAATTAATGTGATCCGAGCCTCTTGTTTCCCACATGCTGAAAGTGAAACAAGGTGCAAGACAGTGTTGAATTTCTAGGCTAAAGCTGTGGCTCTTTAAGTTGGTACTAAGTAGTTCATTTAATTACAGGTACACACGTTGACACTTTTAGGTCTAGTTAGAACAAACGCAGCCTTATGTTTGAGCAGACCGGGGTTAAATCGGGTTTTTACATTCACCACTTCAGCATTTTCAGGCTTTCATTTCCTGCAACTAAGTGCTTTTTGACAGTCGTTGTTGTATACTATAGAAGTGTTTTTAATTAGCTGTATCGAACTGGATTTTCTAAAACAAATTGCACTTCTTCTTTACCCTCCACGATCCAAAAAAAAGTTAATTTCAATTCACTTTAACACCATTAATCATTTCAAAGTTGAAAAGTGGTTGTCAATGTTGAGGTCATTTTAGTCAAATTGAGTTTGTTAAAACCACGTCTGGTTGTAAAGCCATCTTTTTAAATCTATATTTAAATGTTTATCCATGACTTTATATATCAACCAATTATCAATTACATGTTTCAACTTATAGCTATATGCTGCAACTGTTTAAACACTACTTTATCTCAGTCGTTTAACCATCACGTTAAGATATATATTTTAACTATTTATCCATTATTTGCAGATATATATTATTACCATTTATACATTCCTTTAAGATATACATTTAAAATGTTTTTCCTTCCATTTTAGATACATATAATATATGTTTACCAGTATTTTTAGATATATATTTCAACAGTATATCCATTACTTTTATTTTCCTAAAATTGATCTACTTTAAGATATATATTTAAGTTTAATTTTTTTTTAATAAAAAAAATTATTTTCTTTAATTTTTTTTAGCTCTTTTATAAAATGTGTTGAGTGACTCAGAGTACCAGAAGTACAGAAGTACCTCCCTGAGTGTTTCTCCTTTAATCCTTTTTGAGTATTTGTATTCACCTGTCCTTTTATCTCCTGTGTTTCCAGGTGGATTTGGGATTTCTAAGATTCGTCACAGCCATCGGCACACAGGGAGCGATCTCCAAAGAGACGAAGAAGCACTACTACGTCCGATCGTACAAAGTGGACCTGAGCTCCAACGGAGAGGACTGGGTCACCGTGAAGGAGGGCTCCAAGCAGAAGGTAATAATGATGAAGTCCTTTGTGCCGTGCATCTAATATTGATGAGTAGCGAAGGACGCTGAATTCTAATCAATGGGGAGAGAAAGTGAGGATGGCTAAATCAATGTTTTTTCCAAGGCTGACAGCTTCTGGCAGCCTCTCTAGTGTGAGCCTTGACTGAATTGAGTGCGCTGAAAGTCTCATCAAAATGCATTTATTCTGAGGAACAAGTCTGGGAGTTGTCTAAGAAGTGACATTGGTGCAGAGATAAATTGATAGCTTGCAGAGAATATGACGTACTGATAGACAAGTACATCCGACAAATCATGTCAAAGTCTCAACGTCTGTTAAAGTCCCCTTCGTGTATTGGGGTTACACATTGGGTCCAAAACTTACAAGCCACTTGAATGTCTGGGAGCAATTCATCTTATATGCTACACAAATACGGCCAGGATCCGTTGAATTTTCTGAATATTGGGTTGCAGATTATAATTTTCCAAAGGGGGGTTCGTTTAGCATGAAACACTTGAAATAACCGAAGGATAAGTTAACAAAGAAAGTAGAAAGAAAGTGAGGTCAAAGAAAACTATTTCTGCTAAAAGGTTAGCAATAGCCGCTTTCACACCAAGTACTTAGCCGGTACTTGTTCCCCCCGAACTCTTTAGTCCCTCGAACTGTCCTAGTAGATCGTGTTCTCACCGGAATAAGTCCCAGAGGGAGGATTAGGCAAATTAAGCCGCTGACGTCACTTCTTCTTCTTCGCTCGTAAACGTTGGAGTTGGGGACTGGCTTCAGTAGAAGCTGCTGGGTCGCGTCTTCCGAGTAAATCGCCAGAAGCGCCGACACCTCCTCATCACTCCACCGCTCACATGTTTTCTTTTGTGTTGCCATACGTTAGTCTCTCTCCGTTGGTGCGCTGGGCTAATGCTAATGCTAATAATGCTAATGCGAGCAAATAAAATGGCGGCTTCACAAAACTTTTCTGAGTTTTACGGGGCGTGGTTTGCAATTCGCCCAGCCAATCAGAAATTGTTAGTGTAGCCGACACACCCACGAACCATTTCCTCCTCAGGAAAGTACCACCTCGCTAGCAGGGACGATCTGGGGGTGAAAAGGTTTGCACGAACTAGGGACTATAGGTCCAGTCCTTTTTGGTGTGAAACCAAATCTCCCCCCCCCCCCCCCTATCGGCCTAGTTCGGGGGGAAAAGTACTCCGGTGTGAAAGCGCTAAATGATTGAGAGTCAGAACTAAACATTTCAGATGTGTGTATCTCACACTGCACTGTAACTTTAATTCATGTACCTTTGTTATTCATGTTTTATTATCTTATGAGTGTTTTTAAATGCCATTTTATAATATGTTTCTTAATGCTCTTAATGTCTTTTCTATTTTTGTAAAGCACTTTGAGTTGAAAGGTGCTGTATAAATAAACTTGCCTTGTTACGCTGAGTCTGGAAAGTGATCCTTTATTCTTGTCCTCAGATCTTCGAGGGGAACCACAACCCGACGGATGAAGCTCGCTCTTTCCTCCCCAAACAAACTCTGGCTCGATACATCCGGGTCCGCCCCATGTCCTGGGAGCAAGGCATCTGCATGCGCTTCGAGATCTACGGCTGCAGGACGTCAGGTAACGTCAGAAAAAATAACAAACTCACAAATACCGTCCATGATGTGAGGCTCTTAGCTCCAAGTTCTACCTCTTGATGCATTGATTTATGTCTTCAATAACACATACTGTTACTGCTGGAATCTTCCCCTATCCCCACATGGATCATTAAAGTTTAACGTCATCTAAATCTTATCTAATCTAACACATGCAGTGTCCTCACACCCACACACATTTTCTAATATATTACAAAGGTGATTCATGATGATCATATCTACACACAGTAGATACTTGCACTCACTATATGGCATATTCATTTTGGGGGCTTTTTGGTAAACAAGAAACACGGTTTATTTGTTAGCGTCTCTTAAATGTTCTTCTGCCAAGCGCCTATAATTTATTGTATGGAGCTGCATGCTTCTGTAAAAATGTCTTCAAGCTGAAACTGTATTAACACTCAAGGAACTTTTGCTATCATAAAAATGTCTTTTACACCTAGTTTTACAAATGCAAAATCATCTTTCTTTAACATTTTCTGTAATTTTACAAGCCAAAATGTTCATTTACAGACATTACATGCACAACCCTAAACCTCTGAAGCATTTTACATGTAATGTATCTCTACAAAGGGAACATAAAAAAGTCCTCTTAACACCTAACGTGAAAGAAAACAAAGTTTCTTTCAGACCATACTCTCCCAAGTCCAAAACAAATCTCACTTCTGCACATCGTAAATCAAACCAACATGTTTTTGGCTGCAGGACGAAAACCTCCCATCGCTTTCTGTTGATTTAAAATAATCACCGCTTGTAAAGTGAGCGCAGACTCCCCCTCTGAAGGACACCGTTATTCATTACTGAGGAGCAGAGAAAAATCATTACTCATCCTCCAACATTACATAAACTTTAGTCCTTGATGTGTTACAAGCAACTCTCAGTAGGAGAGCTCCATAACGCAGATATTAGACTCTTACTCACCGGAGAACAGGCTGCTGAGTGTCAGACGGGCGATTCAGGAGATGTAATCACACAACTGGGAAAATGTGTGTAAAACATAAAACATTCACTTCCAAAACACATAACCTGAAACTACATCCTCATTTTGGCCATCATTTAATCGAATTTCTTTATTTGAAGGGGTAATATTATGCTTAATGGGGTGTTCCCTTTCCTGTAGTGTGTTATATAGGTTTATGTGCATGTAAATGGTCTGCAAAGGCTGAAATCCCAAAGTTTCTCTTCCACACACTCCTACGTTAAACGCCTCTATTGGACTCCCTTGTTTCACTTCCTTAACATAGTGACATCACTCTGGAACACTACAGCTCCTATTGGCTAGCGCTCCAACACATTGTACGTGATAGGCTAAGGAGCGGGACATCTCTAAGTGGTTGACTAATCACATCAGAGCCGGCCAGCTAACAAATCAGAGCAGACTGGGCTCTGGTTTCAGACAGAGGGTGAAAAGAGGTGCTGCAGCACAGGCAGTATGAGAAAAATAAAAAGCTTTTTGAACATTAAAGCATCGAGACATGTCCCAGTAGAGACACTACATACTGATATACACCTGAACATCAGCAGGAGAGGACTCTTTAAAGTAGAGACACTACATACTGATATACACCTGAACATCAGCAGGAGAGGACTCTTTAAAGTAGAGACACTACATACTGATATACACCTGAACATCAGCAGGAGAGGACTCTTTAAAGTAGAGACACTACATACTGATATACACCTGAACATCAGCAGGAGAGGACTCTTTAAAGTAGAGACACTACATACTGATATACACCTGAACATCAGCAGGAGAGGACTCTTTAAAGTAGAGACACTACATACTGATATACACTTGAACATCAGCAGGAGAGGACTCTTTAAAGTAGAGACACTACATACTGATATACACCTGAACATCAGCAGGAGAGGACTCTTTAAAGTAGAGACACTACATACTGATATACACCTGAACATCAGCAGGAGAGGACTCTTTAAAGCAGAGACACTACATACTGATATACACCTGAACATCAGCAGGAGAGGACTCTTTAAAGTAGAGACACTACATACTGATATACACCTGATCATCAGCAGGAGAGCACTCTTTAAAGTAGAGACACTACATATTGATATACACCTGAAAATGAGCACAATAGAGCCCCTATAGATAAGTAATGAAATACAGGAAAGAAAAACTCCCCTTCTGCCGATTTAACCAATTGTTTTTCATTCCCTTGGATAACATTTGGTACTCATAAGCACATAAACACAGGAACACACACAGATAATGCTGCAGGCGGTTTCCATGAAGAACTATGTGTAAGCTTTTAATTCACATCGTGGAGGAATGCACGTCCTCAGGAGCTGTTGTTCATCGCCACATAAAACTGGAAGCATTTGTCAAATGTCACGACTGTTTGAGTCCGGATATTAGATCCAACTTGTTGTGGATAATGGATTAAAACTTAACCCGCAGTGGCCAGACTATTGTGTCCACATATTTTAGAGTTTAATTAAGTTTTCTCGTTAGGAGAGAAACTAAAAGCACAGCTAAAACGTCTCAATGCTGCAGTAATTATCTCAGTTTCCTAATAGTGGGAACAGGCTGCTCTGGTTGTTCAACAGATTGTCTCGTAGCCTCAGGGTCACATGTAGCTTCCCCTTCAACAGGCTGTCAGTGTTAAGAGCCCATTACACTTTCCACCTCCCATTTCTTCCCAAAAAAAGAAACAAATCTGCTACCAGCTGCTTCTTGACTTCTGACAAATGTGTACTCGTGCAAATCTCAGATGCGGAAAGCAGACATTGTGGTATGTGCAGTTGTAAAAGAAGCAGTAGTTTTAAGATTCATAACACAACTAGCATTACAAAAACCTCAAAAAAGCTGTTTTTATGTGAAGTTTTCCACTCTTTTCCCCGGTCAAAATGTTTCTTATTTATTGGAATCAAGGGTTTACAAATCTTATGTAGTAGAGCTGCACATATGTAAACATTAGCTGTCAACTTTTTAATTATTCGCCAACTTTCTTGATGATAAAATAATCAGTTTGAGAGATGTATTAAATGGTAGAACATCTCTGATTACAGCTTGTTGAATATAAATATATTCTCTGTTTTTTACTTTTCTAGGACTGTTAACTTAACATGAGTTGTGAATTTGCCCACATTACTCGTAGATAACTTTGAAACTTCAACCGTCTATTGTTTTAACTCACAATCCTCAAAGTAAAAGGATATAAAAATGACCTTGTGAAAACTTTCCATGGTTGTAAAATCCCTCTTTTAAATATGATAAACCTCTGTGCAGTGTTGGTGTATCTGATACGCCTTCAAACTGATCTGAAACTGGATAGCATTTCATCTGAAGAGTCACCCAAAGCAACTCAACCCTTTGAATGTCTGTACGCGCTGAATTCGCTCTGAACAACTTTCCAAGAAGCATATTTTCATGTGCACAGTGCTTGAAGTTGTATTTGTATGATTGTAACAGCAGAGCTACAAATAAAAACACAAGTTGCCAACATCAACACGCATGGTTTTACATAAGAATCTACATATTTCGCTGTTCAAACACACTGAGATGAGTCTCTGGTGTCTTCACTTTTTAACTTTAAACACTGCAGCAGCGACCAGAGGGCATCAGCTAACTGCTGACTAAAGCAGTGTCGAGATAACGATAGCAGAAGCCTTTTTTTTATCGTACTGTACGCCTCTCTCTCCCCCCCCCCCTCTCCCCACTGGACTTTAACACCCCCACACACACTCACACACACACACACACACACACACACCCACACACACACACACACACACACACACACACACACACACACACACACACACACACACACACACACACACACACACACACACACACACACACACACACACACACACACACACTCAGACACTGAAATCCAGCACCAGACACTTTTTACGCTGCTATGGACAATCTTGCACTAATGTACATTCCCAAAGATATTGAAGTGACTGTTGTTTTGTATATATTGATTGTTGTGCTTTTATTCATGTCTTAGTGTTTGCATAATGTGTCTGTTGATTGTGTATATATAGGTATATACATATTTTATACATATTTGTATATATATTTGTTTTTTTGTATTTGGGATTGTGGGAAACGGTATTTCTGTACACCAGTGTTCATTTTGGCAGCTATTTTAGATTTAGTCTTAGTCTTTAGACGAAAATGGTTATTAGTTTTAGTCACATTTTAGTCCTTTTTATCCTTCGTAGTTTTAGTCTAGTTTTAGTCGACGACAACTCAAAACATTTTAGTCGATGAAAAATCATAACATTTTAGTCAACTTTTAGTCAAAATGTTTTCTCTCTTTAAACAATATTCAGTTGGGCAAATACAGGTATCTGAAATTGGAATCAAGGTGACAGTATCAAGTGTTGAAAATCGTAAAGCAACATTTCACTCTCTTAACACTTTACTTGTGCATGTGAGTGACGTGTGCACTAATTCAACCAATGACAGGGGTGCATTTTGACAGACAAGACGGACAATTGGGGCAAAATATCCTGCATTTTGAATGTCCGATAGTCCACCATTAACACCTTAGTCCCGTCTCGTCAACGAAAACTAAATATACATTTCGTCATAGTTTTTATTATCCAAAATCTATTTTTAGCTCGTCATCGTCTCGTCTTAGTCATGTAAAAAAGGTCATTGACGAAAAAAAATTCGCCATAGTTTTCGTTGACGAAATTAACACTGCTGTACACACAAACTGAAAGATTGACAATAAAGTTGACTTTGACTTGACTTTTAAAGGTTTCTTATCTCCCTGTGTCTCTCTGTACAGACTACCCGTGTTCAGGGATGCTGGGCATGGTGTCCGGTCAGATCTCAGACGCTCAGATCAGCGCCTCGTCGTACGCAGACCGCGGCTGGGTGGCTGAAAACGCTCGTCTGCTGACGGGGAGATCGGGCTGGACCGGGCAGCAAACCAAGCAGCCCTTCAGGAACGAGTGGCTGCAGGTGGGGCTGGAAACTGAGCTTTTGGTGTTAAATAACAGGGAATAGGGGGGTCTATGGACATGCAGATGACAGATAACAAGAGTCAAACCCCTCCTCTGACTGTTGGTGCTTGAAATATTCTAATTGAGTAGGTCATTGTATAGAGTTCTGCAGGAATTAGTCCTAAAACCCGGAAATAATGAGTTCCTACTTCCGGTTCCCTTGTCTTTGGGTCATTGGTTTTGTAACGTGCTTTTGGTTAGAGGCCTGAAACAAGGTCTGTGGTTAACACAAGAGAAGAGATATTACATGTTGTTCTATAACGCAAAATATATCAGTAAATACGCCACTTGTGAATCTCCAGAGCCTCAATGTGTCATAAAAAAGGCGGTTGCTAACAAGTGTTTAAATGAGACTACTAAAATGTCTTCGCGCTAACATTAGCCGCCTTTAGCTTAGCGGTGCTGATGTGACTGTCATGTAGCTCTTTTATAGCCTAACATTAATACTTAACTTCGAGTAAATAAAAATCATAAAAACAGTTTTAATATGTAGAGATTATCCTGCTGAACAACACGTGTATTTATCATAAACGGCATACACAAATACATCATCACTGCACGACTCTATAGCAGGTTAAAGAGGATTTTGCATGTTATTTTTATGAATTTGTGGTCATACAAAGTTAGTGTGATGAAGGGCTGACAGACAGTTCATATTTTTGTTTATTTTTATTCTGCTACAAAAGGGGAATAAATAACCAGAAAAAATGATCAGAAAATCATCTGTGTTCACCATATTCCATCTACTATACCCTTTGGATGTTTTATGGTGTTGTGGGATTTTGTTAAATATCTGCTGCAGAAAACGATTTAGTTAACCAAAAAAGACAAACGGTGTACCGTACACTCATTGATCAATCTGCCAGTTGTTGACTCAAACAAACCATTCTTCCCTTTTCTCCTCCCCTCCTCCCCTCCTCCCCTGCAGGTGGATCTGGGTCAGGAAAAGATGGTGAGCGGCGTGGTGATCCAGGGAGGGAAGCACCGCGACAGGAACGTCTTCATGAAGAGGTTCAGGGTCGGACACAGCCTGGACGGAGAGGGGTGGACAATCGTCAAAGAGGACAACACCACCAAGCCCAAGGTAGGAGCAACACGTTCATGCTTAAAGGTCACCTATTGTGCAAAGTCCACTTGTTCATGTCTCTTCTACATCAACATGTGTCCCCTCTTCTTCATGTCTCTTCTACATCAACATGTGTCCCCTCTTCTTCATGTCTCTTCTACATCAACATGTGTCCCCTCTTCTTCATGTCTCTTCTACATCAACATGTGTCCCCTCTTCTTCATGTCTCTTCTACATCAACATGTGTCCCCTCTTCTTCATGTCTCTTCTACATCAACATGTGTCCCCTCTTCTTCATGTCTCTTCTACATCAACATGTGTCCCCTCTTCTTCATGTCTCTTCTACATCAACATGTGTCCCCTCTTCTTCATGTCTCTTCTACATCAACATGTGTCCCCTCTTCTTCATGTCTCTTCTACATCAACATGTGTCCCCTCTGTGTAAAGAGACTCTGAAAGTTACAGGAAAAAAGATTCTCTCTCTTTTTGTCCTGATCCATTTTTATAAAAACCTGTCTGAAAATGAGCTGATCAGGTTTTGGCCACTTTATGATGTCATAACGATGTTTTGGCTTGTGTAACCATTAGCCAATCAGCAACCAAGGTAACCCCCCCCCCCCCCACACTCAATAAATAGGTACAGATGAATAGGAATACTACTACTTCGATCAATGTGTACTTGCTTATTTGTCACAACCACATCAACACAGCCACATGATTATCAATGAACAGAAATACAGAAAAATTGTGAGCCAATTTTTGCGTAAAAATACTAATTGTTCTCCCCATCAGATGTTCAAAAGGCTCAGATCTAAAAGTTAAGGAGTTTATAAAGTTGACAAAGAAGCAACATAAATAGTATAATAACAGTACAGTACACATGCAACGATAAAACAACTGTGTTAAGAGTTAGCGATTGAAGGACTCAAATCTGGGTGTTTTCTTTCAAATTCTGCCTTTTGGACACAAAATCACATCCGAGCTTCACCCATAATGCAACACTGCGCCTGAGATGAATCAGGAAAAAGCAAAGCTCGGCACTTCAGACAGGCGGGGGGGGGGGGGTTTGGTGTTTGGTGTCTCACCACTCGACCATTTTCATTTGTGCCGCTTCCACATATGAAAGGATCCCACTCTGGTTCTGATTTCCTGGCTTTTATCTCCTGTTTCCCTCCTTTTTATATTATGTTTTCAGACTTATATCAAACTGATCAGAAGCAGACTTAAGAAGAGAAACGTTATTGTTTGCTCTGTGAGGGATTTACACGGGTTAAACTCCAGTTATGTATCTAATATATCATTTCCATTTACTTGTATATAGACTCTTCTTGCACTATTTCCATTTTATTTGTATTTACTTGCACATCTCCAAACATTCTCTTGCACTATTGTATCTGTTTTACTGTTCTATGTCCTATATGTTGCACTGTTGGAGGAGCCTGACCTAAGTTTTTAATTGCCATATCTACACTGTAGCTAATGTGCACATGACAATAAAGCCTTGAAACTTGAAAGTAAAGTACAATCAGGCTCTGACATGTCTCTCTCTCTCTCTTTCTCTTTCTGTCATTGCTCAGATTTACCTGGGGAATCAGAACCAGGACACCCCCGAGCTGCGGTCCACGGGCTCCCTGCTGACCCGCTTCATCCGGATCTACCCGGAGAGAGCCACTTCCGAGGGGCTGGGCCTCCGTCTGGAGCTGCTGGGCTGCGAGCTGGACGGTGAGTCACCAAAAGAGACAGGATTTACTGTGATCAAAAAAGACCCAAAACAAAGCTTACAACCAACACTTCTTCTGGTTAAAAATGACCGCATCATTGTCATATTTAAAATACAACATGTACGATTTATCTCACGATTTATAAGTTTGAGGACATTTTTTTTTTCTTTTTTTTTTTGGACTGTACTTATATAGCGCTTTATCCAGTCTTTAAGACCCCTGAAAGCGCTTTACATACTACATGTCGTTCACCTATTCACACCCATTCATACAGAGCAGTGTACCTAACTCTAGGACCTAACATTCATACACATTCTCACACCGTTGGCCATCGGGAGCAACTCAGGGTTAAGTATCTTGCCCAAGGATACATCGACATGTTGACTGCACGGGCTGGGATCGAACCCACAACCTTCTGGTTGAAAGACGACCGCACTCCCTCGCAGCCACAGTCGCCCTCGCCCATTTAAGGAACTTCTACTGTATACTTTTTTTTATTGAGTTTCTGCATTGAATCAATATCAAAATGTGGTCAAAAAAGACCCCAAAAAAGCTTCCAAACAACACTTTTTTATCCTGGTCGTAAACATGATTACATATTCAGGAGGATGGAATAAGAGCAGGAGAAAGAAGAAGATTCGAGGGGTAATGAAAGAGACCCCAGGTGCTATTCGGACCCCTTTCAAAACATGTTAAAATAATCCTATAAAAAATACAGCTTGTAAGATTTAATTTCATGAAGATCTTAACATTTTGGGGATTTTTCTCCTGAATTATACACTTTTTATTCCAGTATTATCTTCAACGAGAGCAGAAGTATTTGCATTATCTTCTTAAAAACTCTAATATCAGATTCAACTTAAACAACAACATCTTCCAATAGATAAATAAACTTAAGCTGAATTCACAGGGTTCCTATATGTGCCTTAAACCTTTTTGTTATTGCTGACATTGCACAGTAGGAGTAAAACAAAAAGTATAAACTGGATCAACTTTACTCTCACCCCCCCCCCCCCCCCCCCCCCCCCAGGGCAACAAGGCGCAGTGATATTACAGGGAGGTTGATATTAAAGCAGAACTGTGGTTTCTGGCTTTGGAACAGTTCCTCTTAGCTTTACAAACGGAAACAAAATATGTGCAGAAATGCAGCTGAAATACAGGAAGTAACAAAGTTAGTCCGGAAATCAGTCCGTCTCCAGGTTAGACTGAGCATCCGTACTCTGATCTAATGTATCTACGCATGCATCCACGCAACATTTTTTAAGCTTATTAATAGTTGCTTATATGTCACCGAGCTCATTATGCTACTACATAAAAGCTTATAAAAGATTAAAAAAACTAAGCAACATCTAATGTAAGAATAACAGTAGGGTGGATTTTCATGCACAGACTTTTGTGTGCTGCCCCTTGAAGGTATAGTTATGGCGCGTTTCCACTACAGCGCGGAGCACGGTTTAAGAGGGCTGTGACGTCAGCGGCCCGTCTTTGGTTGCGTTTCCACTTGGCCTAGTACCGGCCGGCGGGTCCTAATTCACAGTTTTTCTGGCCTCATAAAATCGTGGGTCTAGGGCCAGAGACAACGAGGCTGAGTCGGGCTGAGTATGCTAAACTAGAGAGAGAATCGCTGGCAAGGGGGCTACAACTACAACAAGATGGACATATTTGACCGTGATTTAATTGTAATACACGTTTCAAAATGATGCCGAAGTAACAACATACTGATACCGGTTAGTAAAAACCATGAATTAATGCTTTGTCAAGTCTGCAGACAGACGGCAGGCGAAAAACCTTTTAAAATGCGTGTTTTCTAAATGGAGATTGGCTAAGCTAACGCAGTATATGCTCCGACCGTCCACAACAACGGCCTATACAGACATAAATAAAGCAGCGACTGTATTCACCATGACACAGGCAGTCTGTGGTTTGTACTTGTTTAACTTTTGTCTAGTTTCTGAACAGATATGAGGAGCTGTGAGCTCTGAGTGCTAACAGCTAACGGCTGTGTTGTTTTTCTGGGGTTCTCATTGAAGATGACGTCACGGCTCCGCCTACACTGCGTTACTATAGATACTACCCCAGTTCCTAAACTGTAATGGAAATGCGCCATAAAGTGAGCCAGTCCTAACGAGGCCTAGCCATACCGAGCGAGGCCGAGCGAGGCCGTGTAATGGAAATGCGCCATAAAGTGAGCCAGTCCTAACGAGGCAAAGCCATACCGAGCGAGGCCGTGTAGTGGAAATGCGCCATTAGTAGATAATGGAGGTTTGAACAGGGTTAGGGTTTAAACATGCATGTATTGGATGTATTTGCATGAATGTGTTCTCAGTCATTAAACAGTCATTAAACAGTGAACTGCTTACACTACAGGCTGCTTATCTGCACTGTTTGCTGTAATGAGAGAGAAATGGCTGACGCATGCCGTGGCAGGCTGCTATCTGTCCTGCAGCAGTGGTCTGTGTGTGTGTGTGTGTGTGTGTGTGTGTGTGTGTGTGTGTGTGTGTGTGTGTGTGTGTGTGTGTGTGTGTGTGTGTGTGTGTGTGTGTGTGTGTGTGTGTGTGTGTGTGTGTGTGTGTGTGTGTGTGTGTGTGTGTGTGTGTGTGTGTGTGTGTGTGTGTGTGTGTGTGTGTGTGTGTGTGTGTGTGGAGGGCTCGACCTCCCACAGTAGGTGAGGGAGGAACAGATGAAGTCTCTCTGGTGGAGTTTGAGTTATCGGGTTGCCCTGCAGGGAGAGCGATAAGGATCAGCAAAAGCAAGGCCAGATTTGCTGAGTGCATGGAAGGAAAAGTGTGTGTGAGTGTGTGTGTGTGAGAGAGTGAGAGAGACACAGAGGAGGATGGAAAAGAGCAGGAGAAATGAAAAACAGGAGATAATCTTCAACTTTTAGGGAGTTTCAGGGAAAACCGAAAACTTTAAAATCAAGCTTTTCTCGGGGTAAAAAAGCAAAAGCTCTGAGCAGCTAATTGTTATTTCATGTATGCCAAGCCCACAATAATCTAAATCACAGCCTGTATCTCTTCATTAATGTACACAGTGATAAAGCTTTTAGTATTAAAAGCCTTTTTGATATAAGGGACTCAATGTATGATCACTTTAGCAACATTTCATTTGGATTTATTACACAACTACTCCTCGAAAAACAATGTCTGTTGATTCATCAGAGGGTCATGTTGCTTAAAAAAAGTCCCTTCCTCTTTCTAGAAAAACCTCAAGATGCCGGGTTTAAACTCACGAGAGGAAACAAACTCACGTGACGCCTGCAGATCAGTTTCATATGTCGTTGTTTAGTTCAAAGTCACAGATTCTGCTTCAAGCTTTGAGTTAATTCACAGACTTACATCCACGCTGTTGTGAGAGCAAACAGTCGTCCCACTCAGAAACACGTTTTCCTACAAAGTTTAATTACATGCAGACCATCTGGGATTTTTACATAGCTTCCATATGCTAATTCACCTTCAATTTGCCTCGTTTCCATTCAAAACACACATCTCCAGACTGTATGGTGGAGTTTAACAAGATACAAGAGCTCCTGTCATAATTACTTTAATCCTTGATGGGAAACTAGAGCGCCGCAAAATCTTCAGTTTTCCATGGTTTCTATTCAAAGGATTAAATCTAATATCTCTCTATCCAAATTACTCACAATAATCTGCATGTAAAAAGCCTATGGCGTTATTAATCTGTACTCAAATTCAAAGTATATAGTGAGGATAAAGACCAAAGCAATAACAAATCTTAATCAAAGTTCATAGTATATTTCTGTGTAGGTATACATCGCCTATATTGATTATTGCCTTTAGAGATATTGTGATATTGTGAAGTACTTGCTTTTGCTTTTAATGTGGCTAAATGTACTTATCTTGTTCTTACTTTTTACTGAAGTCATGCTGTTGTGATAAAACCTCCAGAGTAGCAATGCTCTGCTCAACTATTTTTAAATTTTTTAGTGACTTATAAGATGTTCCCTCAATTAAATATTAGAATTATTATTATTATTAAATACATTTGTTTTGCTTATTCCAGTTTGCATATCCAACGAGACTGAGCAACAGTGAAGCTCAGGTTAATTCGACTGATTAAAAAGCAACAAGTTTGAGACAGTATTTCTTTGATAAGATAAGAAATATCAGCTCAGTTCCCTTTTCTTGGTATTTTCTTGCTGGGGTATTTAATAGCATTTTTATATTTTAACTAAATAACCGTTGGAAAAATGCAAATATTTTTATTTTTGTCTTTGCTCAGTCAGCAACTTAATATGCTTCTTAGGTCATCAGAAAATTATAACCCCTCAGTAAGGACTTTTTTGTGGGGCCCAACTTATTTTAGACCCCGGTTCTTCCTGTGGAAAAAGGAAGTGAAGTTTCTGAGTTTCTGTCAAGGTTCTAAGTTCCTGAAAATGTTTTTGTGATATTGTTATATTCTTATACTTCCAAAATGTGATAGGGACCAGCCTTTAGGACGGATACACTCAAACATTAAAAGCCACACTTTTAATTGACATTTTGTTTATTGGCGTTTAGTTTCTCCTGCTTAAGACATATACAAATGTTTTGCCCCCTAACAAAAAACGAAATCAATCAATTATAAAGCAAGCAAAATACCAGGTAAAAACATACACATAATATACAGAGATATACAAATACAAGTAATTAATAATATATATACAGGGTGTCCGCGGGGTCTTAAAAAGTATTAAAAGTTGATAAATCAATTAGCGAAAATGAAGGCTATTAAAAAGTATTAAACGGCATTTTCCAAGGTATTACATTTTGTAGCTTGTTTCCAATAAGTATATAACTTGTCCAAAGAGGTTGTATTCTACAGTCTGCCTGAATGTAATCATTGCGTAGGTGTGTAGTGTGATTCTGTGTAGTTTATTTATGGCATCCCGTTGGGTTTGACGTCGTCTGAACAGGACATCGCACGCTCACTGCTTGATAGCGCGCCAAGGCCCGTTTACGCCGGTTGCTAAGCAACATCGTTACGGGGAAATGCAAGTCTGCGTCCAAATGGTTGCAAGATAAGGAGGAAGGACAATCAATACTGTATATAGTAAAGTGTGTTTTTAGCACTTAACACGTGGCTTGTGTGTGGTCATTTAATCTTTTATGATTCGTATGATGTTTTAATGTTTTGTCAAGCACTTTGTGACTATGTCTGTGAAAAGCGCTTTATAAATACATTTTACTTGCTTACTTATATTGCATTGTGTTTCAGTGCAAAAAAAGCTACATTTAACAAAATGTCCTCCATCTTATCCAGATATTACTACAAACATAATAAATAGTCACAAAGTTGCAGCTTTTAGACTTTACTACAGTAAACCAGGTAAAAACATACACATGATATACAGAGATATACAAATATAAGTAATTAATAGATAAATGTGTCAATTGTGTTTGACTGAAGAGTTGCACAGGGAATAAAATGCATTGTGTTTCTGTGCAAAAAAAGCAAAATGTCATCCATCTTGTTCTGTATTAGGATCCCCATTAGCACTAGCATGAGCATTGGCTATTCTTCCTGGGGTCCTCACGCACACAAAACATACTTAAACATACATAAAACAAAACAGCTCATAATTTCATGCAATTGACAGTGAAATGAAAACTAAAATAGTCATCTAATTTTCCTCTTATCCAGATATTACCACCACAGCGCCCCCCACCACCCCAGGCGCCTCCACCCTCCCCATGACCACGTTTGGAGCGACCACCACGGCCCCCCCCCACGGCCCCCGGCACCACCGCGGGGTCCGACTGCGAGGACGGACACGACTGTGGCGCAGAGACCGAGGATCCAGACTATGACACCGTGATGGGTAAAAAACTAAACTATGATCCTAACTCTGAGTCTAAACCAACCCTAACCCAAGGTCAAAGATATCAAGTATTCTGTTTAAACTACATCAAAATTCAAATAAAAAAAAGATAATGTTTCTATAGGTATTGCAAAAATATCATAATTATAAGATGTAGTAGTCAAAAATATAATAAAAATTGCAATTTACTATAAATATTGTGAGTATATCTTAATTGTGAATACGTTTGGCAAGGATAAAAGAATAGTGAAAATGTAATATTGTGACAGATTGCAGTGCAAACCGATATGAACGCCTGCTAACCTGAGTGTGTGTGTCGAGTGTGTGTTGGCATCTGTGAGGGCGGGATGAACCTTGTGACCTTTGACCCCTCTCTGACTGTTCCATCTGTTTGTAGCAGGAGGAGCCACGTCGGTCGAACCCATCCTCGACTTCATACCAGGTGAGCCACAATCTGCCGCCATGTTTACCTTCCTCCTCTCATCTGTCATCATCGTTACATCAGATTTACTTCACTGATCACAATTTGGGAAACAGTTCTAGCACAGCAGCAAGTAAACAAGGCGTGGCACATTATATTAAAGAGGAAATACTATTCTAATGTTCAGGTGTATATCAGTATCTAGTGTCTCTACTTTAAAGAGTCCTCTCCTGATGATGTTCAGGTGTATATCAGTATCTAGTGTCTCTACTTTAAAGAGTTCTCTCCTGCTGATGTTCAGGTGTATATCAGTATCTAGTGTCTCTACTTTAAAGAGTCCTCTCCTGCTGATGTTCAGGTGTATATCAGTATCTAGTGTCTCTACTTTAAAGAGTCCTCTCCTGCTGATGTTCAGGTGTATATCAGTATGTAGTGTCTCTACTTTAAAGAGTCCTCTCCTGCTGATGTTCAGGTGTATATCAGTATGTAGTGTCTCTACTTTAAAGAGTCCTCTCCTGCTGATGTTCAGGTGTATATCAGTATGTAGTGTCTCTACTTTAAAGAGTCCTCTCCTGCTGATGTTCAGGTGTATATCAGTATGTAGTGTCTCTACTTTAAAGAGTCCTCTCCAGATGATGTTCAGGTGTATATCAGTATGTAGTGTCTCTACTTTAAAGAGTCCTCTCCTGCTGATGTTCAGGTGTATATCAGTATGTAGTGTCTCTACTTTAAAGAGTCCTCTCCAGATGATGTTCAGGTGTATATCAGTATGTAGTGTCTCTACTTTAAAGAGTCCTCTCCTGTTGATGTTCAGGTGTATATCAGTATGTAGTGTCTCTACTTTAAAGAGTCCTCTCCTGATGATGTTCAGGTGTATATCAGTATGTAGTGTCTTACAGATGTCCCGCCCCTTAGCCTATCACGTACAATTTGTTAGCCAATCGAAGCACGAGTGTTACATAGTGATGTCAATTTGGAGTCCAATGGAGGCATTTCAGACAGTGGGGGGAATATTGTGACAACAATATATACAAATGACTGAATTTGGAATTAAAAAAAAGTTAAACCTTACGTAACTTATTCCTCTTCATCTCATCTAGTCTCCATTTTGTTTTTCATCTTCTCTTATACTCTACTTTTCCTCCTCTCTTCTCTAAACTGTACAGTAACTTTACAGTGTCCACTTTACAGGCTCACGTACAAACAAATGTGCCCGTTCAGTGTTGCCACATCAGTGCATTAATTCAGCCGATAGTCCCATCATTCAGTGTCGACAAGAGTACTGGCCGCAGTCACCGAGAACAATGAAACGGGCTTTCATGGGAGCGAATGGCTTTTCCATCGGCCCACTTCACAAACGAGGCTTTAGCTCAGAACATACACACAGCCGGGCTGCAGGAAGAAGTGATAGATCTGCTCTGAAATGCACTCGCAATGTTTAATATCATGTGTTTTGGGGAAAAGAGGGAAATCAGACAAGAAAAACAAACACAGTCACACACTTTTACTAACATTAAAAGAGGCAAGAAAAGGACAAATGTGAAGAGAAAGATGCAAAAATCAATGAAACACAAATATCTTGTTCTTGCCGTTAAAGCTATCAAATATAGCTGCTTTGTCAATAGTCAATGTTTTTGTATTTAGTCCAAATAATATATTGCTTTGGCTTAATATGTTGCAGCAGAATTGATTTACTCTGACTGAACGATAGCAGTTGTTTCCTAGCGTTAACTGTTAATACCTTAAATCCTCTACAAAGCCAGGTCTTCCTGCAACTCCTTTTCATTCAGATTGCTTCATTTTCAGTTTTTCTTAAAGGGGACCTATCATGCAAAATGCACTTTTGTACGTCTTTTCTACATGAATATGTGTCCCCGGTGTTCCAGGGAACTCACCAAGTGTCAGAAAACACAACCCTCTCTATTTTCCTCCATACCCAAATCTCTAAAAAAGGGGCTGCAACGGATCTGATAAAAACTGATCCAGATTTGAACACTGTCCTGACGTCAGGACGGTGGCGCTACGGCTATTGGGCCAACTCCACCAATCAGGAGGAGACAGCCACGGCCATTGCCGTTCGAAAGCGCTGGAGACGCTGTAGTACATATGCCAGGCCTGTAGGTGGTGCTGTTCTCACAGAATCTGCCCTTGCAAAAATAACATTTTTCAAATTGAGCAAAATGAGGCATGGCTAAAATGCATGATCTGTTTGGTATTTTGAAAAAAAAAAAGTATAAATATGCCTTATATAGGTATGGTCCTACACTATATTATTCAAATATAGCATGATAGGTCCACTTTAAGGTCTAACGATGTTAAGGTATCCAAAATCTCACAAGATAAGATAAGAAGAGCCTTTATTGATCCCCAGAGAGGAGATGCAGGTGTTGCAGCAGCACAAGGACAGACACAAATAAGTATTGTTACATAGAGAAAGGTCAAATAAAATCAGTATATGAAATAAGAAATTGATGACAAGATGAAAGCAAGAACATGACATGGTTTATGTAGCAGAAAATTAATCATGTAACCCCTTTAGATTTGATCTTAATCCCGTATTATAGTGATCAAGAAAATGAAAGAAAATGGTGGGAAGAAATGTGTTTCCTAAAAGCCACACACGTAAAAAAAACATCACATGACATTTTTGAATAATTTATTGAGCCTCCATGCACTCCACATTTAAATCCAAATGAAGCACTTTGTTTTCGCCCCCTTTCTGAACATCTTAGCAGCGTTTCGAATTGTGAATACACCTAATTCTGTTCAATTAAAAGGAGGTAGAGTTATGAATAGAGAGAAAGGTGGAAAAGATAGCTGCAGTGGCAAGAAGACAAGGACAGGAAGGAGAATAAATAGGGATGAGAGAGAAAGGCAAAAAGAGAGACGGATAGTGAAGGTGGAGCGAGAGAATAAAGGCCTCCTGGGTCTCAATTATCCGAGTCCAAGCATCGGGTGAAGACAGCTCGGGGGTGAAGGGGAGGGTACCATCTCCTCGGTCATCTCTGCATCCTATTAGCCTCTCAGAAACAACATGTCCGGCTTTTAGAGATGTCTGCATTCATTTAGAGAAGCTGTGGTGAACTGCTGCAGAAAAGAAAGGAGGGACATTTTATCTTGTTTGGGGTTTTTCGAGGGGCCACATCCGCGTTTGGTGGCGCCACGCCTTCCACGACAGAAGAACAAATGAATGGGGACAAATCGTTGTAGGTTCAAGCTTCTTCATTGTGAGGAATTGCCGCTTTTCTTATAGCATATCATTTTAAAATGAATCGCTCTGGGTCTTTAAATGTAGTTCAGATGATATACCCTGGTGGAAACTAGTCACACAGCAGCTTCTGACTGTATATATATACTGCAATACATTAGTTGTAATAGGTTATCCTAGGAAATCTGACAAGAAGTCAAAGTTTGTTGCTATTTAACAATAGCAATGTTATCTATGGACACCCGGGTGCAAATAGCATTGTTAGCTATGCATCCTATTAGCCTCTCAGAAACGACATGTCCGGCTTTTAGAGATTTCTGCATTCATTTAGAAGCTGTGTGCTGCAGAAAAGGAAGGAGGGACATTTCATTTGTTTGGGGTTTCTCGAGGGGCCACATCTGCATTTGGTGGCACCACGCCTTCCTCCATTCCTGTCCTGATCCCAAACATCTGTAGGCGCTTTCTTTTTGTTTTCAACGAGGATGTGGAGCGCTGTCTCTCTCCGTCTTTCTCACCCCGCTCCATCTGCACGAGCCTTTTTTCTGCTTGCTGAGATCGGTTTCCCACAAGCTATACAATTTATACTGCGTGTACAATCCAGCAGGAACAGCTTTCTGATATTGACGTTACAAGACTTTCTTCCTCGGGCTGTCTCGTTTCTTTCCACTTCAAAACTGGAGACAGTTTACTGGGCGAACACCGCACATGATGATGGTTTTTAGCCTGGATTTACAATGTCAAAGAGCATGTCTGAGTGTTTTGTAAAGTCCTTGGAAAACAGGTTGCCACACATAACACTGTCTCCTACAAAACCACTTTTTAGGAAACCTGGTAAATGCCACGGCCTCAAATATATATTTATATAAAAGACAGAGAAGCCAGTGAGGGATTGTGTTTTTGTGGCTGCACTTGGAAAAGATTGTAAATAGCATAAACATCCACTTGTTTGTGAGGGAAAGAAGCAGCTGATTAAAAAAGTAAAACGATTAGTCAGTGAATCGACAGAAGAACAAATGAATAGGGACACAGTCGTTGTACGTTCAAGCTTCTTCATTGTGAGGAATTGCCGCTTTTCTTATAGCATATCATTTTAAAATGAATCGCTCTGGGTTTTTAAATGTTGTTCAGACCCTGGTGAAAACACTCACACAGCAGCTTTGGACTGTATATATATATACTGCAATAAATTAGTTGCAGCTTATCCTAGGAGTTCTGACGAGAAGTCAAAGTGTGTGGCTAAGTTTGTTGCTATTTAACAATAGCAATGTTAGCTATGGACACCCGGGTGCAAATAGCATGTGACAATAATGAAATGCAAGACAAAACTTTGCGTTCGGGCTTATGAAGAGGGGAGTGGTCCCTTTTTACTGCTATGGTGTGGATTAAGCTGGAAGCTAAGCTAATGTTAAGGACAACACACACAACACAGTTAGAAATATTTCAGGCTATGAACCTCAATAGTGACGACTTTGTTGCATCTGTTGTTTTCCAACAACATCTTGGATTTTTTTCATCAACTATCTCACCTCCAACTGCTCTGTTTTATTTCTTCTGTTGCAGCATACGTGTGGTTTGCCTGTAACTTTGACTTCTCGTCGTTCTGCGGCTGGACCAGAGAGATGGGGACCGGGGCCGAGTGGCTCATCCAGACTAACGGAGCCCCGACTGTCCACCGGGGGCCAGCCCTCGACCACACAGGTAGGAGACAAGTGTTCACATTAGTTTTAAAGGTCACCTATTATGTAAAATCCACTTTTCCGTGCCTTTTCTTCATCAACATGTGTCCCCTCTTCTTCATGTCTCTTCTACATCAACATGTGTCCCCTCTTCTTCATGTCTCTTCTTCATCAACATGTGTCCCCTCTTCTTCATGTCTCTTCTACATCAACATGTGTCCCCTCTTCTTCATGTCTCTTCTACATCAACATGTGTCCCCTCTTCTTCATGTCTCTTCTACATCAACATGTGTCCCCTCTTCTTCATGTCTCTTCTACATCAACATGTGTCCCCTCTTCTTCATGTCTCTTCTACATCAACATGTGTCCCCTCTTCTTCATGTCTCTTCTACATCAACATGTGTCCCCTCTTCTTCATGTCTCTTCTACATCAGCATGTGTCCCCTCTTCTTCATGTCTCTTCTACATCAACATGTGTCCCCTCTTCTCCATGTCTCTTCTACATCAACATGTGTCCCCTCTTCTTCATGTCTCTTCTTCATCAACATGTGTCCCCTCTGTGGAAAGAGACTCTGAAAGTTTCAGGAAAAAAGATTCTCTCTCTTTTTGTCCTGATCCATTTCTATAAAAACCTGTCTGAAAATGATCTGATCAGATTTTGGCCACTTGATGATGTCATAACGATTTTTTGGCTTGTGTAACCATTAGCCAATCAGCAACCAAGGTAACCCCCCCCCCCTTTATCACCTGAATCTCCTCCTAGAGCACCATTGAGTTCTTTGTAACCAAATCTCTCTCAGAGGGGCGTGGGGAGGGGCTCCTTATTTTCATCTAAAGTAACAGACAGAGAATCAGCACTTTGGAAACAGGGCTGAAACAGAGGGGATTATGGGTAATGCTGCAATGATCTGTTTGGTGTTTCAGACAAACACTTCAGAGACAGGTTTTGTATATATCTGAGACCTATAATATATTGATGAAAAACAGTATAATAGGGGACCTTTAAACTCTCTATCGGTGGTGGAAGAAGAACTTAGGGTGTTAACTTAAGTAAAAGTAGCTTCTGAAATGTAATAAAACTACAGAAAGAGTTGAAAACACAAGTAGAACCCTAAGACATAATATTGTCAGCACTGGATAAACCTTAAAAATAAATTAAATTGAATAAACGTCCTTCAAAAACTTCTCTTTTTACAGAACACAGATTTCTATTCATCATTCTGCCTCAGCTCTCTGACCTTCTCTCCATTCAAACTCCAGTGATGGATGTGTTTTGTGCAGACAGCGGCGGCTCGAAAATGAATGATTTCTCCTTGATTTTCTGACTTAACCAGATCACAAGTAAAAAATGATTCCTTTGTGATGTCAAGTCGTAACGTCTGCTGAAGCAAGCTTATTTTGAGTCCTTTGTTCTAAGCAGAAAAGCCTGAAGAGTCCTTGAATTTGAGGTCTTTGACACCGAACAAGAACACAGATTTTATATCGTTTTTAAAAAAGACATATTTGCAACAGAACAGACCAATGCTGACATTTTGCTTAGTTTGAATGCAATAAATAATGAACCTTTGAGAGTTTAAGATCCCTTTTATTGCTTAATATCAATCATGTAATGTATGTTCACAATTGAAATGTACAGAAAACAGTATTAAAACTGTAGTTGTACATTCTTTTAGTACACAGTATTACATTTTACACACTTGTGTCCTATCTTGTTCCATTTTATATGTGCATTTGTATCTATAAGGAAACTTACTTGCACCATTATGTCTATTGCACTTCTTGTTGCACTATTAAATGGCTTTTCTTTTCACGTTAGGTATATTGTAGGTTGCATTGTTGCCAAAACTACAGTGTAGATAAGATACAAAAGTTACAAAAATAATACAATAAACCCAGCAGCATAATAGTAAAACTGTACACTAACAGTGCAGTAAAAAGAGCAATTAAATATCTACAGGAAACATAGACGGTCACATCATTAATGTAAATATTAATAGTATTTAGTAGTGCAAAAAAACGTAGTGGCAGATACGTAATTGCACGTTATCATAGCACATTATTAATAATAATAATATTGCACATGTGATATAGCAGCGAGTGTTTTGTAACTACTTCTTTGAAACACTTCTCACACACCCCCTCTTCCCTTGTCTCTTGCTGCCCCCTGCAGGCGGACTGGGGAACTTCATCTACATGCAGCTGGGTGACAGTGACACCCCGAGTAAAACTGGTGAACATGACGGTGATGAAGAGGAGAAGGTGGCGAGTCTGGCCAGCCTGCCCATCACAGCCACAGACTCTGACCTGTGCATGTCCTTCTGGTACCACATGTTCGGGGAGCATGCGGGCGCGCTGCACATCAGGCAGAGGAGGGAGGAGGAGGAGGCGGGGGGGCAGATCCTGTGGACGCTCAGCGGGCACCAGGGCAGCCGCTGGAGGGAGGGGAGGGTCCGGCTGCCTCACTCCAGCCTCTCATACCAGGTAATACACTAATTTTAAGATAAGATAAGACTTTATTTATCCCGAGGGAAACGGTTGTGCCAGAGTTCCACAAATACAATAAACCCAGCAGCATGATAGTAAAACTGTACACTAACAGTGCAGTACAAAGAGCAATTAAATATCTACAGGAAACATACACGGTCACATCATTAATGTAAATATTAACAGTATTTAGTAGTGCAAAAAACATAGTGGCAGATTATATGTTCATTTTAATATAGGTTAGGGTTCAGAAGAAGTTAAGATATTTACATGTTCAACAGGGGAGAAGAGCGATAATTAGAGAAGTATAGCAACAAGTATAGTAAATAAAATGTAGTGTTGTTACATTTTACTATCATGCAACCCATTGGTGCATCATGTCCTGAATAGACAACTTTGCATATATTTTTAAATAAGAAGTTTGTAGATTGTCTAAAGCAGGGGTTCCCAACCCCCGGTCCGCGGACCGGTACCGGGCCGCAGAGGTGTTACTGCCGGGCCGTGAAATAGCTGTGAGTTTATTGTAATATTTGCAGAATTATAAATATATAAAAATATTTTATCATAATATTTTTTTCAAAAAGTGTTTAATTTTCGCACCTATGCCACCAGTCATATTATTTCATCCAGTAGCTAGTTAATCTTTCACCAGAAAACCATTGAAAATGGCTTTTATGATGTTCCGAGGGATTCGGCGGCTCAGCTTCTTGTTCGCACGAGCATGTTACCGGTGCGCCAAGTAGGAAGAGGAGCGCACAGGAGACAACCGTTTGATTGCAGACTGTTATGTTTATGTGGGGAAATGGTGGTGCATACATTATTTGAGATATATTTCAAAGTCGGACTTCATTTTAAGGACATGTCGGCCAGGGGTGTAGAGCTATTTGTTTAAGCACCGGATTGGCAAAACAGGAGAGTAAACCAGTCTGCCTTGATCTATGAATTAATGTCCGGGACTCTCATGGTATCTGCTGCCCGCAGCTGTTTTATAGAAGGAAACCCTCCTTCACTTCATGAAATGGCTGCAGCATCAGGAGGCAGCGGGACGTATACTCGGTAAAGAGCTGTGCCTTTTTACGCACCGCCTTCGCTGTGTTTAACTTAATCAGAACAGGTTAAGAGTGACTGCAGGCTGCTACGTGTTAACCACACACACATCTACACACATCGAACTGCCCGATTACTCCCCCTTTTATTAGTTTTATGAAGGAGATGCCAGTCAGTCACCAAGGCGCATGATGTGTGTGTGTGTATGTGCTCTGCTCAGCTCAGCTCTGTGTGTTCGGTGTGTTTGTGTCTGTCCGACACCGGCATATATGCGGCTGTTCCCAAAATAAATTAGTTTAATCTTAATCTCGATGTAGTGCTAAATGCTGTCGGGAGTGCACCGGAACGAACGACACTATCATAATATCTTCTGAAAACAAATGCCAGTGACACACGCGCGCGCGCGCACACACACACACACACACACACACACACACACACACACACACACACACACACACACACACACACCCTTCATAATGCGCCTTCTCCTCGTTTTCCCAGCATTCACTGGATTATCCGTAAATCATACAAACAAAACCAAAACGTTGATTTATCTGTTTTCCCGTTTTGGTTTAAAAACTGAATAACGTCGGTTCTTTTTTAAACTTTGTTAATATGTTTTGGATGCATATTGTTCTAGTATTTGTTCAGGCTGTTACATACAATTAGCCTCTGTTGCTACCTGCTGGTGGTGAGTAAATATTAAAATCAGTTAAAATTGACAACCGGTCCGCGATTTTTTTTTAATGTATCTACCGGTCCTTGGCACAATAAAGGTTGGGAACCCCTGGTCTAAAGCATGTTTTAATGACTGACTGTGTTTTGTTTCTCAGGTGGTGGTGGAAGGAGTTGCAGAGAGACGCAGTGCCGGTCACATCGCCGTGGACAACATCCAGATCATAGATGGACTCAGGATGGACGACTGCAAGGGTGAGTGCTGTGTTATTATACCTCACTTAATATTGTTAATATATACTGTTATACTGACCAGGGATGTGTCACCTCACAGATCGTTGCCCTTCTTTGTTTTGTCTGACTTTATTTGCATGAATTTGATCTAATGTAAGCTGTTTTTTCTCTTCAGATCCAGACACTCCTACATCTCAACCTACTGAGATCTTCATCCTACGTAAGTTACATTTCTGAATCAAATGTTGTTAAAAACGTGTAAATATGTTCATGTTGGTTGCACCGACTCTTGATTTTACAGAGCACGTTTCGATAGACTTTCAATGCTCTTCACAGAATGGTAAAAATGTGCCTTCCTAAACTGGGATTTGTGCAAATAAAATCTAGCAAATAGTCCTTTAAATTACAATAACAACATCAAATGAATACCAACAATAGAGTTGAAGGATCAAACTTGTGTTTGCTTCTAAGAAATTATAAAAAATGTTTCAGTTAGTTGATCATTTTTAAGACAGGATCGAATCAGTGGATTAAAATCTTCCAAGAAATGTTGTACACATACTTAAAACTACTCCTGGTTATTCTTTTGTATGTGAACCATGGATTTGTATAGATTTCCATTGTTCCAGTTGGCCAGTTGTTTCCACTAATTACCGTAGATGTAACTTCTCATTTTGACATGAAACCTTTAGATAGAAAACCCTTTATAAGAAACAGATGACCCTTAAAATGAGATCATTTACATGACCACTTTAACAGAAGATCTGATGGATAATAATGGATCATAACTAGCGTCCATCTTTTTCGTTTCTCCCAGCGATGGACTCCCTCTCCCAGGACAACAGTGAGCTGGGGGGTCCGGGCAACATGCTGAAGACCCTGGACCCGATCCTCATCACCATCATCGCCATGTCAGCGCTGGGCGTGTTCCTGGGCGCCATCTGTGGCGTGGTGCTGTACTGCGCCTGCTCGCAGGGCAGCATGACGGACAGGAACTTATCCGCGCTGGAGAACTATAACTTTGAGCTGGTGGACGGCGTGAAGCTAAAGAAGGACAAGATGAACGGACAGAATAACTACTCAGAGGCGTGAGGCGGAGGGAGCTGCGGATATCACTCCGCACGGACATTGCAGCCAATCATGTGGGAGTAAAAACACGGGGTCCGAGGCCTCTGAAGGGACGGCAGGGTGGGCTGAAAGTGAGCCAATGTAATTTTGTTTTCTCAGGAGCGGCAGTGAGAAGGACTGACCTGCAGGGGGCACTGTGTATAAAGAATCTGTACAGTAACAAAAAAAAAAGAGAAAGGATTCTATTTGTTTTTCGGTGTTGATTTCATGTAATCACATGCTGGTGTTGAGACCAATTCAGAAGAAAGTATCGTTTGTGTACTTTATGGAAAGATTAGTTTTTATTTCTGTTGTCTTTTTTGTTCAGATGTTGTAGTTTCACAGAAAGAGAGGAGAAGGTGGAATTTGCTATTGGGATATATGTCTCTTTAGCTCGTCATATGTCCCTGTGAGTTTGTGTGTAAGAGTGTGTGCGTCCATCCATATACTGTATATGCATTTAAGGTGTGTATCATTCAGTCTAGCTGTAGGCATGTATGTGTGCATCACACTCATGTATACACAAATTGACAGCATCTTACTTTGTGTGTGTGTGTGTGAGAGAGTGTGTGTACACATGTCAAATCCATACATCTGCATTGAAGGTTTGTATCATTCAGAGTAGGCGTGTACGTGTGCATCACACTGCATACATGAATTGCAAGCATTTTTTTTCTTTGTGTGTGTGTGTGTGTGTGTGTGTGTGTGTGTGTGTGTGTGTGTGTGTGTGTGTGTGTGTGTGTGTGTGTGTGTGTGTGTGTGTGTGTGTGTGTGTGTGTGTGTGTGTGTGTGTGTGTGTGTGTGTGTGTGTGAAGGCGGTTGACCTGTGTCTAGTTCCAACAGTGCCTTTTTTTTCCTTCAATTTTTCTGTTGCCTTGTTTTTTTGCTGGTTTTTTTCTTGCTTCATCCGTCCCGGGGGTTCCTACACAAAAACGTGAGAAAAGTCCAGACATTTGTATAGATTGTTATTAAACTAAACTATTGTTTATGTTTTAGTATTGTACTGTCAAATATCAAATGTCGGTGTAGATTTGAAGCTCTTCTTGCCTTGAAGACACTCGTGGTGACACGGATACAAATGGTAAAATCCAGAAAACTTTAGGAAAAGTTTTGAAATTCAGAATGTGAAAGGTGTAGGAGCCCTGAAAGCCTCGTGTTCATGGCACATGAAACATCCAACATATTGTACATAGGTTTTAATATATTTGAGCGCCCTTTTCTATAGAAAAGGACACCAGTGCCGCAGTATCCTTTCTCTGTTGGGATCACACTAATCCTCTCAAATGTACAGAGAAAATATTCATTTGTGCTGGATCTGGTTGTCATTCTGTGATATTTGTTGATGTTGTTTAGTTTCTGTTTGTGCTCTGAGAACAGGGAGGATTTTATATAGATGGAAACGGCTTTGAGATTATGGAGCGATGCCTCATGGGAAGGGAGGTTTTTTTGTACAGGGTAACACGGACAACCTCACCAAAACGATGACAGCTAGTCAAGATGGATTTTCATATTTTCCCGGCTAACGGTTCTCGCTGGCACACACAATGACTTCTGAACCTTTAAAGAGACGCGCGTCCAGCCATCAGAAAGACCTCCATCAGCATCTTTTATTGAACTTTGAGGATGTGGAGGACTTAAATGATGACCGTCCTGAATGAAAAACGAAGACACGATGTTTGCCATGACAATGCTGTACTCTCTGTCGGTGTTTTTCCTGTGTCGACTATCAGAGGAGAAATCTTTAAAGGATCTAAATGGCGTTTAGCAACTCCAACAAGTGGCTAACTGCAGCCGATCATTCTGTCCAATTCTCTTGTGCTAAAGTGGCCATAACACACACAATGACAAAACAAACAATTGACTAGCTAACCAGAGCAGAGACCCAACATACTTTGCAAAACAATAAGGCTCATTCATTTCATTTGTTGTTTTGAAATAATCGGACATTTGATTTGTAGTTTGCAGTGTAACACAATTCTGCAGCAGCTTGATTTGACTTCATCCAATTGGTTCCTGTTCAAACATCTCAGTAAAAATTGGTTAAAAGCTGAAATGCATTAGCCTTTTTGAGACAGTGCTAGTATTAATGCTACGTTATGTTTTAGCTTCTTTAGCTAACGTGTTGTGATAAGTCAATAACCTTGTCAACCTCGAACAGATGTTCACTCTGTGATCATTAATAGGAAAATTCTTACTATATGCTGACGATACTTTACTATATATTAAAAAGCCATTTAGCAGGTTTTACATGTTTCGTGTCCCCTGTTGCGCTGCACTGTGGAAGTTCAATCTGCCCTTTTTTAATGTAGCATCACATGAACTAACATTGTGGTGAAAAAACTTCAATTATTTCTTTTAGGATGAGGTTTTAGAGACATTTTGTTGTAAAGGAAATCCACCTCCTCAATCAGGTTAAATTAAATCATTGTCCGGTTGCAGTAAAGAACATTTCCGATCATTTTAAGGTGCTCTGACTGTCGAGATGTTCTTTATTTGCTCATGAGAACCACACTGGTTTAAAAAATATCTACTACATATGTTTACATTCGAAGACACAGACACAGGTTATCAAAATTATAATAATTTCCGTCTGAACGAATGTGTTTTTTCCCCTTCAAACAAGAAAGGATGCTGCAGCACTGAAAAACAAAATGTTGCACTGATATATTTAAAAATAAAAAAAAGAATCTGTGTTTATGATGTTGATTTCTGAAGAGAGAGGTAGAAGGAAGGAGAGGACAGTGTTATTGTTGCTTCTTTTTAACACGGTTTCAGATGAAAATGTTATAATTCTGAAAAATGTACAGAGATGTTTTTCATTCTCGAAAAAGCTTACTATATGCGTCTCTTTGAAACGTAACCATTTTATTTACTTGGTATGATATCACCTTGTTTTTGTACCGTCACTGATGTACGTGCCATTGTTTTATTATTTTTCTTTCTTTGAATGACAAGACTTTTTTTTTTAAATACTGCTTCTGTAATTTTTTGCTGTCTCAGATCCGGGAAGATAGAAAGAAAAGAAATATGGAAGTAAAAAAAGAACAATGGAAAAGCAGTGAGGCCTTACGTGACTAAAAGTATTGTTTGTACTTTGACTTTCTGCTCAGACTCATCCGTCTCTGTCGTCTCTGATCATCGACTATTACATTCCAAAGACTTGGATCAAATAAATGTTTTAAATAAAAAGTTCTCAGCTGTTTCTGTCCCACCTCAGAGAGGGTCAACGGTTTTAAACGACACAATTACAAGCGTCTCCTGGTATCTGGATGTAGTTTGGGTTTAATCCTCCTGTTGTCCTGGGGGTCAGCAACCCTCTGCTCTGGCTCCCTTGAGCTTAGGCAAAAATAAGAAAGAAATAAAATAAAAATATTTGTGGGACTATGTATATTTTGTGGCATGGTTGAAAATGTTTCGTATCTTGTATTTTGAGGTGATACTGTGACACATAAATACAAAAATAACAGTTTTAATTAGGTCAACTAAAATATGCGTCCTGCTACGGTCCAGCGCCTTTTCTTGAATAACCTAACCCCCGGCTCGATGAGCGAACTATGGATAAATCAAAGAATAGAAAAGTATTGGAGGAACACAGTCAGTGGCGGCTGGCCAATAGATGAGAGTAGATCGGAGTCGTTTGCAGAAACCCTAGTTCATGCTTTTGTCACCTCCCGCTTGGACTACGGCAATGGTGTCCTGTTTGGGGTTCCCAACAAAACCCTGGACAGGCTCCAGTATGTTCAAAACTCTGCTGCTAGGGTACTCGCATATACAAAGCCGTGGCAGCACATCACTCCCACCCTCATCCACCTCCACTGGCTGCCGGTCCCGCATAACCTACAAATCCCTCCTCCTTACCTACAAGTCCCTCCATGCCCATGCCCCTCAGTACCTATCGGACCTCCTCCGCCCACATGCCCCACCCCGGAACCTGCGGTCTTCAGACTCCGGCCTGCTCACCAACCCCCGCACCAACCTGCGAACCTTCGGGGACCGAGCCTGATAGTAGCCTATATATACTAATCAATACATCATATATACGTATACATATATGTTTATTTATTTATTCCAAACATGTATATGAGTGCTTGAGTTACTTTCCCATAGTTTGTCTGTCCTGTTCAATCAAGGCTTTTCTATTTCTATCTGCCTTTCAGCGAATCCACATATTGTCATGTTGGCCAATAGGCTGACATTTCTCTCAGGTAAAAGGATTCATTAAATGTAATCCCTAAACCTGTGTTGAACAAAAGCCTAATTTTCAATGTGAGCCTGAACATTTATTTTAAACAACAAGAAATACGACATTAAGCAAACAACACCTCTGACAGATAAAGAGTAAAAGACTCTATCCAATCATTTTTTTGCAATACCCAACAATACTTATATACACAATAGGTGACATCCTTAATGCCTTTTTTTCTTAGTTTTTTGACAAACCTACCTCCTCTCTCATCCTCCCCTTGATTGCCCTGTTTGAAATGCAGAAGTGCCCGCTATAGGAAAAGGCTCGGCTACATCTGGTTGGAGAAGGAGGTTGGCCCTCCCACCTGGCTGTACTCAGACGGCTGGTCGTAGTTGCCCTGGGTGTTGTAGCTCCCTGATTGGTCAAAGCTTCCCTGGTTGTAGGTCTGCTGCTGGTTAAAGGTGCCCGCCTGTTTCTCTGAGGCCCCGTCTGCTAACCTCGAAGCACCCTTGTGCCAACCGGTCTCCTTAAAGACAAACCAGATGTTCCCTGCCCATAGAACGAAGTTGAGGAACCCAAAAACCTGAAGGGGAATAAGACAAAGCAATATTTTGTAAGTTAGAAAATGTTACTTAGTTAAAAAGTTCTTATTTCTACTTATTTTTCGACTCATTTCTCAACAACACATAGTAACGTCATTCAAATGTGACAAAAAGGCTCAGCTACTTTCAACTGACATTTGAATTCCTTCCTATAATAGATGTCTATATTTAATATATGTATTCATGCCACTAAGTGGAGTTGATTGCCAACAAAGATCATTTTTTGAAATGACAATAAACTCAATATCTTGGATCTTCTTTTATAAGGTTTATTTCTCTTTTTTATTTGCAATGCATTTGATAAAGCATCTTATCATGTTTATACAGGGTTGGGAGGGTTACATTCATATACATGTAATCAGGGGTTAAATTGGGATTTGACATGTGGGGGGGCTGTGTTTTTTTTTTGGGGGGGGGGGGGGGGGTTGCGGGCTAGCGGGCTATATATGAGGCCCAATCCTAAAGCAAC